CCAAAGCCCCAAAGCCCCAAAAACCCCAAAGCCCCAAAGCCCCAAAACCCCAAAGCCCCAAACCCCCAAAGCCCCAAAACCCCAAAGCCCCCAAAGCCCACCAAGCCCCAAAGCCCCCAAAGCCCCAATCCATTGTGCGCAATTTTGTCACAACCAATGCGAAGCGTAACAGCACAAGAAGCCTCGGAGGTGGGTGTATCAACACGCGCTTCCTTCTTCATCTGCAGGGTAGAGTTTGGTGATTTGGTGCCCATTTTGGGCGAATATGGGTTTAATTAATAGCAACGGCCCCTCATACATTGAGAGCAGCCTAGACTGGTATAGGGGAGGTTGAAGAAGAGAGATGAGATGGGAGTAAAGAAGTAAAGCCTCCTACGGCCAAGTCCCGAGTACGTGCCCAATCCGAGATCAAGCGATGAAATCAGAGAGTCCTGTGTAACCACAGGAATGGCAGGACCGGCAACAAGGACGGCATTAAGCAATACTCTTCCTCCGGGTGATGAAAGGAGGATGAAGAAGAGAGAAGAGATGGGAGAAGAGAAGTAAAGCCTCCTACGGCCAAGTCCCAAGTACGTGCCCAATCCGAGATCAAGCGATGAAATCAGAGAGTCCTGTGTAACCACAGGAATGGCAGGACCGGCAACAAGGACGGTATTGAGCGATACTCTTTCTCCGCGTGATGATGAAAGATGTGATAGGGGAAAACGGGCCAGGGTGCAAAGAGGAGGCTGGGATTGGCGTCGCGACCGGGAGGTCGGCCTATACGTCACGTGGCTCACCTACATCAGCCAATGAAAACCATGAATGCAGTCTTTGTAAGCAACTAATATAACTATACAAAATTACACAAGGTTACATCAGTAATCAAGTACTGAAGACGGTTGGAACGTGGTCGTTACAGTACGGACTAGTACGGGCATAGCCAATTGAGTACTTGAGAGTGTGATTTTTATATACTATAGAAAGTGCAGAATAAATAGGGGATGAGCTTAGTAAGGTCGCTGAGAGCCTTACGATCATCAGGCAGAGGGGGGTGCTGAATATTCCTCGGGCGCGCTAGTAACATTTCGACCCTCTTTTGTTGACAAGCTCACCCGCGCGGGAGATAGCAGCCAGAGAAACATTTCAGCTCCTAGTCACCAATCACATGTGAGGACCATGGCGTTGATGGACATGGTGGTCACCTGGCCATCAGCCCGGCAGGCACCAACCCCCATAACTAGATAGTCGGGCATTCTGCCCTTTAGGAATTGACAACTCTCTCCCTCTTTCATCGCATCACTACACTGTAGTCGCATCAATTAATAATGATTGTAAGTTCATGTGCCCACCTATGAACTGCCCATTCTCGACATCGATACCGGTTCCCCACCATCCATCTCCGCATCCAATCCTACGGACTTGTTTAGCCTTACAAGGCCCACCTATTCACCTCTACCAATCTACATCGATTTCTGGCGATCGACAAGTACCCTACTCGGAGGGCCGAGCCCGCACGTCGACCGACCGAGCTGACCCAACTCTCTGGGACTTGCTTATGGATACATTCCCTCTGAGATGTCGTCGGGCAGTCTGAGTGCTCCCGTATCGGAAGCGCAATTTGATGCCCACACCGCTGCCCGACGAAAGATGTTCGCTAGGCTGCATAACTATCAATCGTTGAATGACGATGACGATACGGTCCACTTCCTGAGGTCTGTCTTCCGATTCCTCCCCACCCAAGGCCAGGACCACTTGGCCACCGATGTAGATGACTGCGATGACGACGACCAGCTGCGACAACTCGCGAAGCACCTGGACACAACTTTGCTAAAGCCGATGTTGGCCACTGGTGGAACTACGCCCGCGATCACACCCTCCCCTCTTCCTGGTGTGGAAGACTCTATGAACCTGCTGTCTCTGGAATTCGACTCGGCGACCCAGCGGCAGAGCGGGCTGCGGCGAATTTGCCTGCAACGTGATAACTACCAATGCGTAGTGACAAAAGCATGGGAGCATGAGCACAGCCGGCCGCCCGGCGCACGTACCGCTGACCTTGAAGCCGCTCATATCATTCCATTTGCCCTAGGGAGTTTTCCCGGGGATGATCGACTGCGGGCATGGACAAATCTGGCACTGCCTATACCGCTATTTCCCAACCATTCGTGACCTCTTTCACCGTAGCGATGAAGACGTCAACCGCATCGACAATGTGATGATGATGGTGTCACCCCTGCATCGAGAGTTTGGTCACTTCTCATTTGTCTTGGAGGAGACCAGTGTTTCTGGTCGCTACCGCGTGAAAATGTTTCCCCGATTTCAAAATCTCTACCAATCCCCCATGCCCGACTTCACGACAGTAGCAAGTCACAACCCTCGGTACCCCGCCCCTAATGAGTCTCTGCTTGCTGTGCATGCAGCCGTCGGCAACATCCTGCACGCGACTGGGCGCGGCGAACTGATCACGAAGACCATACAGCACCTCGGAGGCAATAGCGGCCACGCTCTTGCGAAGGACGGGAGCACCAATGTGGAAGAATTGCTCTCTGTAACCGGTCTTCCATTACTGGCAACTAGTCCTAGCCACCGTCCGCCGGCCCGCAAAGAAAATTATTCTCGTTATGTTAGGTCCAGGCTCCCCAGAGCGGAAAATCAACCGCCTAGCGTCACCGACGACTGATCGAGTCATCGAGACAAACTAGCCAAACGACAATAACACAACAAGAATAAGCACTATGCAGTATCCTGAGGAAACTAGCTTTTAATTCAACCATCTATTAGCCGGGTCTTCAATTGCCTTCCTGCCGTAAGAGGGTCTAAGAGGGAATAGTTTTCGTCCTTCGTTGTTCTAGCTGCTAGGATCTCTAGTGGTTAAGCGATACTACATTATATTTATAAAAAGTTAGAGGTAGAAGGTTAAGGTAAGTAAGCAAAGTCGAAGATTAAGAAGATCGAGGAACTAGAGAAAAGGACGCTTTGTCGCGCAGCATTTAGTCAAAGCGATGAGTCGATAAGTTCTGTTTAACTATTTCCTTTATACTGTGGATGGCGCATAGGTGGACACGCTACATTCACCTGATCTCACGGCACTTGTGTACGGCACTTGTGTACGGCCGCGCAATTCTATGTCAAATGATATGAAGCACATACTAGCATGTGCGAAGAGCATGGCTTCCCTTTTGCTCGGGAAATCCCGTGGGGATTGATTTCTTGTCACCAGATGTATTATCTCTTCCTGATCCCGTTTGGCCCACCGTTTCAGCAAATTATCCCGTATCCTGTTAGCGACCACGAATCCTTTGCTGAAGACCTGGTTGAGCAGACCCAGTATTTGAGATTTTTGGTCAACCGTTCGGGCTCGAGACCCAGCAACAGTTACTGGGAAAAACAGCATCACTCCAGGAATTTTGGTGTAGCGCAACACTTCGCTCGCTAAATACAGGATCGTAGATAGATGTTCAGTTATTTCAGCAGCGAACAAAACCGGGGCTGGGATATTGTCCCAGTATGGGAAATGATCATAGTTGCCAGAGAGAAAGATGAGCAGAGCGTGGTAATACAGCAACGCCAGGTTTGAATATTCATTAGGACCATCCTGGACTAGCTGCAACAACGTTTTCGCGTGCCAGTCATAGATAGTCTGTTGGACATTGAGTCCTTCCATCCCAATGAGAGCAACTGATGGATCCGTGAATCGTTCTGCTTCAGGAAGGATGCTAATTATAGACCCGGCTCTGTCGTTGAGTTTATTAAGATAGAACAATTCGTTCATTTTCCAATGCCCACTTACCGTAAGCTGAAGGCAGATGTCTCAATCATGAGGGTTATAATTTCTTCCATGGGCTCCCATCGAGTGGCATTGCTCGACAGGGCCGTTTGGAGTTGAAGCCAGCATTGCTGAGATAGAATTGTTTTTTCATTATAGAGTACTGCTCGACTGGCTTCGAGAACACGAAAAAGGTCGTAGAATATCCTTCGGGGTGATGACATGCAGTCGCCTGGTCCCGTAAGCTGGAGCATTCTTGATGTTCCGTATAGCATATGCTTGACCCAGCCTTCGCCTGAGTCGTCTGAGAGCAACTAGGTACGTTGATGTCAGTAAAAGGCAAATTTAATGCATCCGATAAAGGATACTCGTTCTGATAAAAGTCTTACCTCAAACAGCCCTAGAAAAAATGTAGCCCAGAGAATGTCCTCTCTCTGCATCACATTGCTGTTTCCCAGACTTGTCCGCAAAATACCCATTGACTTATGATAAGAGGTCATGGCATGTACATAGGAGCATTTTTCTCCCTGTAATGCGTGTCCACCTGTACATCGATTGGCATACAAAGCACCAATCGCTATCACCGCATCGTACAGGACCGGGGAAGTCGAAATCAGAGGAAGCAGGTCCGGAACTATCGACGAGAAGCTCGTCGTGAACATGTTCTGCTGAATAAAAGCGGCAAAATAATCAAGCAGGCGGGTATCCTTATCCCTCCCGATAGACTGAAGTGGGCGAGCCCCGGAGCTGCTGCTATTTGCAACAGCCATGCCCTTCTGGGCAGAACTTCTGTGCCCTCCTCCAAAATCATTTTGTTGGGTTTTGTTGACAAACATAGTCATATCCTGTCCTGATTGCTGCTGGGCAACGCACACGGTGTTTTGTCGAATACAGAGAGCACATGGAATTCCCCCTTCACACTAGCAAGGATTAGCTGCACTAGTCTCATGAACTTCAAGTTTCACACCACAAACCTTGATTCGTCGTTTAGCGCAGCCGAGGCAGCGCGTCACCCGCCTTCGCTTGTCTAGGGGCCCGACCATTCTCCCCTGCGACGTTGTTGATGATGACATGATCTGGAAGTATGCTCTGGCGAACTCTCAAATTGTGCATATTCCTGATGAACACTATCACGAAAGTGCATATATTAGAGCGAGACCTGTCTGGGCTGTCAGCAGGCAACGATGTGCCCGATGACGCTAACCTGATTGGGAAGTAATATCGCGAGACAAGGCCCCACATGGCTTCCAATGTGCGACATCACCAGATTCCACTTGATAACCAGTTTACATCCGACCAACTAACGCCCGATAGATTCCCATTCGGGAAACTTAGTTACCTTGGTAGGGCGAGAAGTTGCTATGGGCTATGTTAGCAGGCAGAATGCTCGTGTACCACTCCCCCTTCCCTCCGTGATATATAAAGGTCAGACAGTGCTCTGACTGCTGACTTTGGAATTCCGTCATCAACTTTCATCTTCGACTTCCTCTTCTACTGGTTTATCTTGGTTTATCATGCTTCTCAGTTTTCGTCTCCTGCCCATCGTGGCTATGTCCGTCTCTGCAGTGGTGATCCCCAGCCCACCCGGACAATACGACGTGTTCTACAACACGGCGAAAATGATCGAAAAGACCAGAGTCGACCCGTTTGATCCCAAGAACGGATCGCGTGCAGTGATGACTTCGGTCTTCGCCCCAACCCACTGCAAAGTCGATCTCGAGAAGATAAACTACCTGCCCCCCGCAACAGCCGAATACTACTCCGACGTATACAGCGCGCTGGGACTTCCCAACGGGACGATCCAATCCATCTCGTTCCAAGCGTGCCCAGAGCCGCCGAAAGGCCGCCACCTCCAGTTTCCCGTTGTGATCTTCTCGCCTGCTCTTGGCACGACCCGCCTGTTCTACAATGCCATTGCACAGGCCGTCGCCAGCGCCGGGTACATCGTGGTGTCTATTGACCATCCCTATGATGCCGAGTTCCTCGAGTTTCCGGACGGAAGCGTCGTGACTGCCGCAAATATCACTGACGCGCAGGTCCCACTGGACGTCAACACTCGAGCGCGGGATGTGTCGTTCGTGCTGGATCAGCTGAGCACAAAGGCTGGAGTCGCAGCTCTACTCCCTGGAACAGGGGCTGCGGGTCTGAAGATTCGGCAGGTCGCGATGTACGGTCACTCAGTCGGGGGTGCGGCTGCTGCTGAAGCCATGCGTTTGGACTGTCGTGTTGTTGCCGGAGCGAACCTGGACGGGTCAATGTTTGGGCCGGTGGTTCAACAAGGTGTTCGGGGTCCATTCCTCCTGTTTGGACATGAAAATAAAACCCAAACGACGGACCCATCGTGGGCAGAGTTCTGGTCGAATCTGCGGGGGTGGAAGTTGGAGCTGGAACTTGCCCAGGCGCAACATTACGCATTCTCTGACTTGTCCTATCTGATGAAACTGCTGGGTGTTCCTGTTCAAAATGTGCCGGCCATGCAAAATATGGTTGGAAATTTGGATGGTGCCAAGGCATTCGAAATTGTTCACCGAACTGTCATTGCTTTTTTGGGATTTGGGCTCCGTCAAGCATCGTCGACTCCGCTTGAGGAGGTCATTTCGCAGTATCCGGAGGTATCGGTCTTTTCCCGAGGTAAATGAGGCAAGGCTGCCGAGAACAGATAACACATGTGACCGTTTCGAATTATCTGAAAAGTTTTACTGATGGAGAAGAAGGAGATTGGGAGAGACTGTGTAGATTATATGATCCAAGCAAAATGTAAACAGAATGGAGTTGAACTATTTCAAGTCTGAAAGACCCCAGAGTAATCGGAATATAAGTGCCTGACCGACGAGGTTGAGAATTTAGGCCAAACAAAACTAACTACACATCATTTTTACGCCTTGAATCCTTTTTCTCCGCACAACCCTATTTCACAGCTTTTCTTCCCTCATTCTTCTTTTCCCCGAGCCTCTTTTCCTCGGCCTTCTCATTAAATTTCTTCGTCAGAATGTCTATTCTCGGATTCCCCGAACTTTACATAGGTACAGAAGTTACCTTCGCCACACCATCACTCCAGAAGTGGGTTATCGAGGAGAAACTGACCGAGGATGTTCAACAAATGACAAAGTGGGAACTTGATGGTGGCGCTGGGCCTCCATTTGCCGTGTTTAAATGTCTCTGTCACAGTGCGGCAGACAGCGACAAGAAGGCGTTCATGCGAATCTATTTCCAGGTTCCTATTGAAGGAACTGGGTACGAACGCCCCGAGGTTCGACAACGACAGGCCGCTTCACGAAAACATAGAGAGCTAGACGTCCTGAAGGATCTGCAACTACGACAGTGTCCCGTGGTACCGAGTCTCCTCGCCTATAAACAAGGAAAACAAGGCAATGATGGATGGCCTGGTCCCAGATGGATACATTACACATATTGTGTGGGATAAGGTCCCCGGGAAGTCACTGAACCAGGATAAAGTCTGGGATCCTACATCTGGTCCATTACGTGAGGCCGTCCGTGCGAAGTTCCGCGTTGTCTGGGAGTATGTTATAAGCCCCTATTCTACCAGTCGAGAGTAAAGCCAATAAACCTAAGGGAGTTGAGACGATATGGATGGGAGCCAGGTATGCCCGGGCTGGAGAACATCATATACGATGAGGCTACACAGACGATGTATGTGGTATCTTCCGTACACCTGGTGCTAAACAGAATATGCTGACTATCCCTAGGCACATTGCAGGCTTCCGAGAATCTGCCTCCCTTGACCCCGAAGAGAAATTTACAGATATGACCTTTGTCGGCTGGGGCTTGGCTATACCATCTAGGAAGGCCGGTTGGGACAAGGACAGTACTAAATGGGCTTGGTGATCAACATGAATGTCCATTGCTTTAGCCAAAGTGCACAATTTCGATGATTCCAATCTTTGCTGCAATTCTAGAAGGTTAAGCTGATTTTCATATGTATTTTGTCAATAATCAATTAGAGAGGATGCGTGCTTAGCTCACATCGATGGGCGCAAGCCATGTGACAGTCTAGAAGAAGGACAGGGTAGGCACCGGGCTGAGGATTGAACCTTAGAGCTCTTAGGAATTTACACCGGACGACTTGAAACTGGAATACATGAGTTTTATATTTTACAGTACAAGGCTTAGATCAGAAACCCATATTTCACATTCGAGTCCAACAAACAATGGAAGAGTGTGTAAAGTGGTGACACCGATTTCCGGAAGTATATCGGCATGCTGTGAAAGCCACCTGGGCAACCACTACCGGAATGAGCTACTATTGACGAAGTACATTGATGAAGGCCTAGGAGCACCGAAAAATTGCTATGCTGGCAGCTCTTGGTCTACATTACTTCAGGTACCAATGGTCCCATGCAGTAGTCTAAGAAGACCGTGCTACGGGTAACTCAACAGACTTTGTGCATCCGACGGTAGTTGTATGCAGCCACCAAAGCAACAACATGAAAAGCGCCGCCAAGCACTGCAAACATATGCCAAAGCTGATGCGAATGACCCCAAATGTCAAAGGTCCCGGGGCTCAGTCTCTCTGGGAATCGACAGACGAAAACACTCACTCCAGTCAAGAGGGAGAGTGCTTCTGCGAGGTACCACCCAGCCCCAATTTCATTACTCGCACGCGTCCAACTCAACTCAATAACACTTTGGAGGATAGGCAACATGGCAGAGATAGCGAGCAGGGAGAAGACACCTCCTCGCAGAGTCCTCATTTTATTACCTCCACCGCCGGTATCAAACAAAGCGATGGCAGCGCCAATCGCCGAGAAAAGATTGAGCCCCCAGTACACCTGCTGGATGAAGGGCCTGCAATAAAATGCGTAATATGTCATGGATGTACCAGCTCCAAGGGCGAGGAAGCAGATTCCGAGGATATCCAGTCTGCCCCAGAGCTGGTGGATATTGTAAGAGTGGCTTCTTAGGGTGTGAAATCCAGCGCTGAGGCCAAAGCAGATGGTTGCCGAGGCCAAAAAGGACCCGAAAGCAAATACATCGCCGCGGCCGAAATTGAGGTCTTGAGAGCGCGAGACAGTGTGATTCAGTTCAAAACCAACAGCAATGAAGGCCATTGAGCCCAGAAGATGGGTCCAGATGTTCATTGTTTCCATGTGTAAACAACGCCACAGGCGCAATGATCGTTTGTAAGAATATGTGGGCATCGGATGGCCTTCCAAAATATAGTCATTATCACGCAGCCATCCTGGAATCAGCTCTTTGCTTCCAATAGTTGGCCAGTATGACTGATTGTCTGGCTTGGACGTGGCTGCCGAGCTCTCAGTCAACAATTGGGAGTCTTCGAGCGGGACTGATGGTATCGTGCGTCGGGTCATCTTTGCGGTCTCCCACGAGCATCTGAACGTGTGGAACACTAGAGAAACGGTGATTTGGAGGAAGCCCAGGAAAATTCTGAAATATTTTGAGAGATGAAACGATCTTGGCTGGGGTGCAACTTTTTCTCTCAAATCTCTAAGCGCCTCTTTTCGCGGGCGACACGCGACCGTGAAACTCATCACACCGAACACGTGTCACGATTGGCGGGCCAAAAATAGTCTCCGCGAGAGGCTATTTCTACAATAACCCTCCTTTTATCCATTGGCCGATTTGTTGTTGTGGTGTATCTCAGGGGCCCCGCGTGCTGAACCAAATCTCACAGTGGCCTCAGATGCATGGCACATATCAACAAGTCGAATGAGTTTTGCTCATTTCAAATATCCACAAACCTGCAGTTCTCAAGGCCGGCGCACCCTTTAGCAAGGGCCATGCATGATGCCCCTCGTTTCAGGTACAATTTGCAAAGCCAGGCGGCTACACAACAATAGTTGGCCAGGATTCCTCGAGACTACAGTAGCGCTGACAACTTGCAGGTATATTTTTATCCATGCCAGTGGCAGCGAGATCACAAGAGGCTCGGGCCTATGTGCCCCTGTCTTTTCTGCGACACTCTAAAGGATAGTTCTCAGTGTTAGCCATTAAATGTGATGACTATATTATTTCAGTTGCCCGTGGTACTCACCCCTGCAATTAATCCATCTGTTATTACGCTTCTCTTTATACCATGAATGTTATCCCAAGCAATGGCACCGCCGGCTGGGTATCCGGGCCTAACACACGGGGAACGATGGACATTATTTGGTCTTCTTTATTGACAGTCTTTCTCTGTACTTGGACAGCAGTCTGTCTGAATCTCCCCGATCCCAAAGACAGTCAGTTCCAAATCTTTTGTCGCCGGGCGAGGTGGATGTTTTGGGCGATTGTCTCCCCGGAGTTGGTTCTTTCCGTTGCGATCGGTCAATATGCCTCAGCACGGCGATCTGTGAAGCGTTTCCGCAAGCTGGGAATGAAACAAGACAGATGGACTCTCCGACACGGTTTCTATGCGGACATGGGCGGGATGCTCCTTCAACCTAGAGACAGCACACCCTTTCTAGTCAACAGCCGTCAATTAGCGTACCTGGTCGGGAAGCAGTACTTGGAATGCCCACAGATTACGCAGAGCGAGATATGGGACAAGTCAAAAACGGATACGCTCGCCAGACTGCTCAGCTTGGCGCAGGCTACTTGGCTGATGATCCAACTCTTTGGTCGCTTCATTCTTAAGCTTCCGACCACTACACTTGAACTATCCGCGGGTGCTATTGTGATTTGTACCTTTGGAACCTTTATTTGTTGGATGCACAAACCAAGCGATGTACACACCGGCATTGTGCTTAGCATGGAAGTTAGCACGACTGAGATTCTCCTTGAAGCTGGTGATCTTGCCGCTCCACCTTACCGTCACACACCTCTCGATTTCATCGCCAAGCAGTCGTTCACTTGTAGTTACGACGTGATGCGGTTCTTTGGTCTACGTCTTGATGACCGCGAAAGGCCCTTGCGGCGCTTTCCAAATGACCGATTCCCGGATATCGGAACGTTTGAAAAATTCTCCCTGTTTTGTTTGACCTCGGCATTCGCTTCTTTTCACCTCATAGGATGGTATTTTATCTTTCCTTCTCGAATTGAGCAGATTCTTTGGCGGATCTCAAGCTCTATTGTAACGGTTACAACCGTGCTATACTGGATCTTCGAAACAATAGCTGCTCGGCAGCGCTTTGGCAGGTGGGACAAGTATCTGATCTGGCTGCGGCTGAAAAAGCCACCATCACAGCCACAAATCGATGCGGAGGCCACTATGGCGCGTCAGGATACTGTCAGTCGCTTAGACGCTTTTGAAAAAGAACAAAGGGAGGCAAAACCTATCTTACGTTGGGAAGTTGGTATTATTCTTCCAATAATCTTCCTGTATGTTAGTGCTCGGGGATATATGATTGTCGAGGTATTTGTTGGTTTGCGCCGACTACCAATGGGCGCCTTCACAACTTTTGAAGTCGCGGACATGTTACCTCATTGGTGAATAGATACCTTTCAATGCTCTTGCATTTCATTCCCCCTCATTGTTCGAGACTTGGGTTCCTGATGACTGTCAGAAATGGTTCCAAAGTCGATGTGTAAAAGTTAAAGAATACCAAAATACCTACATATAAACATCGGCAGTTTTATCTTCGTTAAGCTCTTCGCCACTGCGTTACCTACCATTGTATCGCATAGATAGACACGCGTTTGATTGGTGGGGCTCTCATCATTTGTACTCGCAATGAGACATCTGTGTAGTGTACGAAAGCGGAAATGCTAATACTCAAACTACAGGACTGCGTAGCTGGATCTTAGTTATTTATCATGTGATAGCGATCCATGTGGATCGTGACAGCGTGGACTTTCCACTAGGGTCTAGGAGTCGAACAGCGAAGAGGAAGGCAAGAAATACATTCGCACATCTTCTAGAATTATCAATATCTGGCATGACAACTTTAATCTGGATCGAGCTCAGGCCGCTTTGCTGGCAAGCATCGTTCTCTACGAGGCCGACTCAAAGTCGGCCAGCTAGGTGTGGACTGGTTCAGCCGTGCGCGTAGCCCAAGAGATAGAGCTGCAAATCGACTCCGGTCCCTGGCCTGCGGTCGACGGGGAGATACGAAAACGCGTATGGTAGGGGCCATATGCCAGGCTGGGATGGATTATTCGCGCTCGAGATGGGGAAGCCGGCATTAATCAACGACCAATACTGCAATGTTGATCTTCCATGCCCAGTGGCCGAACAATATGTCACAGAGAGAGTAATGTTGTTGTGAGAGCCGGTTTTTTGAATAGTTCATGAAACACGGTCATAGATCTATGGCTCGAAATGGACAATAAACTTAACTAAATAATAATGATAGCGCCTACTAATGAGAATGCAGTCCAAATAGCCGTGAGAACCCTAAGTTGGGGCAAGCAGAACCTATATTTGGTTAGTTGATAGTTATGGACCAAGTAATGACTGTGTAATACGTACTCTTCCGCACTAAGACCAATAAATCCACTCCAAAAGAGCCACTGCGCAATCCAGAGAAGGAGCATGCTGATGATCGTAGCCGCATACAACCCCACAAATGATTTCTTGGAAACCCGGCCATCGTGGCCTTTAACAGAGTAAGTGCCATAGTCCGTGTGATCTCTTCCTTTGATCTTTATCAACGGTGTTTCTTCTGGGTCCCTAACCTCGCTCCTCAACAACGGTGTTCCTTCTGAGCCCCTACTCTTCACCAACCCTGTGCAACATTCATCCAAGTGGTCCATCAGTTCCTCAATCTTCGATGTTGTCTGCTTGCCTCCCTGCCAGTCTGATGTGTCGAAAACAGGTCCAGTCAACCTGTTCATCCTAATAGCCCGTATTACCTGAGCAATCACCACGCTAACTATGATAAGCCACACGAGTGCTCCAGCATACATCGTTTTTGCAGGTCCCTCCCTCTCCGCTCCGTTTATGCCTCCGAAGTAGAAACGGTGTTTTCGACCATAATGAACGGTCATAAGCAGGTAATATGCTGATAGAAACTGGAGGATCACTTCAGCACATAGCGAAGACCCGGCCGCGAAGAACTTCAAATCTCCAAAGGTTGGTACACCAATCAAAAAAATCGTCAGCCAAGTAGGCCGAGGCATTGAGCTCCAGAGGAGCATTAATTGAATCACGGGAACGTTCTCATAGCCAGGGGTTTGTTGAATAAGAAGAATATTGAACAGGTTTGCAAAGAGTTGTAGGGCGGCGATTAATGTTCCCTTGATAACCCATGGCCACGGCTGCGGGTTCCATGGAAAGCGGCGTGCGACTCGACGTACTATCCCTATTCTCTGGCTGAGAGCTACTCCAAGGAAAGTAGCTATATTGACTAGAGCAAAGCTTGTGAGTTTAGACTCATTCGAGGCACATTTTTCTGTTGCCCTTGCGTCTCCCAAACAGGGCTTATGGGTAATGTCTGAATCGTTAAATGGCTTCAATTTCCAACCCCATGGAATCATGTCGAGGGTAGTAGGGACGGCTAATTGACGCCAATTATCTGGCAGACCGTGCCAGTCCTGGACATTACCACAAAGATCATGGAGCCACTTGATATAGTCAATTCGTGTCTCAAATATCTGGCACGACCCTCCGCAAGAATTGTAATTGATGTTGCGACAAAAACAAGCCCTGTCAACTGCGCGCTTGATTTTGCAGTAGCCACCGACCTCACAAGCATCGGTTGCACACTGATCAGTGAGCTCGATCACTTGCTCCGGCATATCCGCGACGCATTTGGGCCAGTGCCAATCTTCGATGGGAATGTACGCGAATTGGGTGGTTTTGAGTGTGTCCGCCCAGTTCTCGGGTAAGGATGTCGACCCACATGTGGCATAAATCCAGAGACGCTCCTTTGTGAAGTCTAATCGTCCTGACCCTGAACAAGGTTCATTGTTGAGATCTATATTGAAGGTGTTGCAGAAGCAATCTTTGTCAAAATAGTCGCCATCACTGATGCGATGCAGGACCAGATCGTAGATGCGACGCTGGACGAGATCGTAACCAACAGTTTCAAAATCCAGAGCGATCATAGAACGTAGCCTTTCACTATATTCCCAGGGACGAGCAGCGTTTCCGGTATGTTGGGTACTGCTTGTGAAACCGCAGGAGGCCATTACATGTCGGAATGGTTCCATCGATGAAGCAGAGACCGAGTCGCTCAGACATGTTGGTGCATTGTGAATCACGTCAACGGCTGCATACCCTTCAGCTAGGGAATCTGGGGAGAGACTTTGCAGACCGCTCGCGTCGCCGACATCGATAAGCCACGTTCGACCTGTGATATTATGAATCCATTGATACAACTGCGCTTTGGCGAGAACCGATCGACGACAGTATGGGAGATAACTTTCGATAATGTCCGGGGAGAATGCAATGCTGAGGCAGCTGAGTTGAGTCAGCCATTGGTGGTAGGTGCAGATAAAAGCAAAGTGGGAGGTGCATCGTTTGCTGGTGCATTTCGTCATGGCACGCAGCCAGGTGGACTGATCTTGCTGGGCGATGCACTGTGGCATAGGAGCCAAATCTTCAGGGTTGACCCATCCATTGCGGTTGTTTTGGGGCAACAAGATACCGTCCTCCCCATCATACTCAACGGTTGTGGTATGGATCGCTTCTGCGGTATTGATGTTGGTGGCAACGATAGATGGAGACTGGAGGAAGCTACCTTTCGCATCTACCCCGTAAACTCCCATCAACGGCATAAGACATGTAGAAATTTTCATCTTGCCGGTATCAAGGCACCGAAGTAATGTGAACGAAACTGGGGCCGTTTTGATTTGCGAAATGATATTTCGGTGCGGGGTTGGGCGACTAAGTATGCTACCCTGGACATCACTCTCTCATTGGATATTACCTGACCGTGTAATGAGAGAGTGATGTCCAGGATAGTCGAGGGCTGTAACTTGTAAGCGCCGTGCTGGTTTCAAATGTTCTTTTGAGTCTTTTTAGGCTCAAGAGTCAAGATACGGCTACCAAGCGCCAAGGATGTTTTTCTCTCACGAATTAAATTAAACTAATAATATTGCTTGGATATTCCACGCTAGGTGCGATCGCGTAAAGCGGAAGCTTCGAAACTACCTCGACTCTAGGGCGACAGGTTTCGGCTCCGTCAGTTACCACTTACACTCACCAAACGATAGACTGAGGGTATTGAAAAATCCCCGATAAGATCAACTGGAATTCGCGACCAGAAACCAACGTAATGCTAGTGGGGGATCGTGCCGAGGGGCCTCAATAGCGCCGGGAGACTACAACCTGCTCAGCCACGATTACAAGTTTTGCAGTTAATGCTAATTGATCGGGGATCCGTCGTCAGTCGTGCTGAATCAATTCGAGGCGTTTGCGGAAATCTGTCTCAAGCAGACTGGTACGTCACACTCACCAGGTGCCAATGCCAATTGCCCCTTCTACTGGATTGCCAGCAATCGCACATGACCGACTAGTGGGACATCTGTCAAAGGCGGTCGAAGCGGCTCAGAATGATTTAACTACGGCTTGGCGTGAACACCAGAACTTCAAAGATAAGACATTTGACATAGGATATAACCGATTTTTTTACACGAAACACAACGAACACATATTAACTCTCGTGTTGTGGAAATGTTCTTGGCATTCCACAAAGCGCCAGAGCCATGATGCCAGCACATCTCACCTCGTGAATATCATCCATCTCCGGAAACATGGCAAGCAGTGGAGAATCTGCCAATTCAACAACATGCCATGAATCCATCAGCACATATCTCCTTAGAGATAAATTCCCTTAACATATCGCTTCCAAACCGGTCATTCATATCATCCCTTCTTGTAAACTCTATAATCTCCTCTTTTCGATAAGTAAAGGCTTATATTATACCTTTAGCCCTGACTTATCAGATGTGAGTAGATTCTTGCTCCTGAGCTTGGTTCATGTGCGACAGAGCGCGCCCATCTTTTTATATTCGCCGTAGAGCAATCAGAAGACCTACGCTGGAACTTTGTAACCACCAGGGACCTGTTCCTGGAACACGCCGTTGGGGTCGTATTTCTTGCTAGCACGTCGTCTGTCCTTTCGGGCGTCAGGCCGAACATGTTGGTGCCGTTACTACCGGGATGATGCTGAACCAAGAACTCCACGAATATGCTGTCCACATTCGCGATTTTGCTCACGCCCGTCTCCCAGATCTTGAAAATCTCCATGTAGACATTGGGATCCAGGTTATGGAACAAAACTGTAAGTTAGAAGGCACTAAAGAAATAGTTAGACTTGTGGGGCATGAAATGGTAGGGTGTTCGTTATTGTTACTAACCGTTGCTCGTGAGATGGGATATTCTGTCCAAACAGGTCCACGACATTGTCAGTAGTGTTGAGCGTCGCAACACCTCCTAAGTTTGGAATCTCGGTGAAAGCGTCGTAACCAGCGGGTTTCTCAACATACTTTGTATACCACATGGCATCCGAGAGAAGGAGCTCCCTGCCTGAATAGTCCAGACATAGAGACATAGGACCCGGAGGCCATAGGGCCATGATTGGCTGAGCTCTGGCCAGCTGGATCCGCTACCTCCCGACAGCGCTAGTCCTCTTCGGGTATGTGAGATGCTCCGCCAATAAACAGTCATCTATCGGTTCAATCGACGCTTTGATCTCGAAAGGATGAGCTTTCTAGGAGGCACAAGGCTGGAATGTACAGAATAATGGCACATGTCATCAGGGAGAAGTCGTGAAAGTGGACCGTTTTAGTTGCCTTATTTGCGGAAGACACGCGGATCCCTCCTGCTGTCCTTCGAGTTAACATCCTAATTCCCGGATATAGAAATGATCTGACGGTACAGATAGATAGAGGCCGGATGATGGGCGGATGAGAGTCTTCCTCTCTCTATATAAACCCTTCGAACGATCTTTCAGCGGTCTTTTCAAAATATTCCTTCATTCAAATCTATTTACGACTCACGCCATCCACCACCACAACCATGGGTAAAGGACTCGCCAGACTCATTGGCTCCGGTATTGCTTTCACTTCTGAGGCTGCCCATGCAGCCCGACACCGAAACAAAGACTCTGTGTCTGTTTCAGAGACCCCTCGCTCTATCTCTGGCGTAGAAAGCGATTGTGGAGACTCGGTCGGTGCAGATAGTCGGACGACTTATACAGTCGCCCTCGAAGGTCGTGCAGAGCTACCCAATCGCGAGTGCCGCTCAGAGTGGGGCAGCGAGAGAGGGCTCCCAACAGAAGATGAAGTTCCACCATACTCACCCGGCTTGGAACGACAGAGGGATATAAATAAAGCGAGATCTTCATCGGAAGTCGAAGAAAAGAGAGGGTACCACTATTTTGAGACAGGGAAAGACACCGAAACCCCCACTTTAGATACCAGAAACGACCGTGAGCGCTCGATGGATGGAGATGAGGCTGCCTGGCAACTCGACGAAGCGACCGAAGAATTCGGATTGCCCACATATGATCAAACAGAAACTCACCCTGGTCCGAAAGGTGCTCAGAAAGACTTCGACATGAGTGTCGATAATGACCCCGATGAGATTAGCGCACAGGACTCTGAAGATGAGAAGGCGAAGAAAAGAGAGCGCATGATTCGCTCACTCGTGGCACTGGCTGGGCCACCACCAGCCCAACCGCAGCGACTCCCATGTCCTGTAATCATTCCTCAACGCAGGCCTGGCGCGAAGAAGCGAGGATTTGTGCGTGCATATGCGCCCGTGTTGGCCGACTGCGGTATCAGCCAAGATGTGTTCTTGAAGTTCATCAGCGACTTTCATAAAGCTAGTCAGGTTGGTGACTACCATTCCATTTCTTGACCATGATGGGCTTGCGTTTACTTACTCACTATTATCACAGGCGTCAATGTGGCTCCAGGTCATCGTTTGCGCAGCCAACATCACTGGCTTCTCCCCTTCATTAGCAGTTGCGTTGACCGCTGCAGCTATCCAGATTGTAGCGGACACAGCACAGCAATTCCAAATTCGTCACCGTACCAATAGCTACCTCGATAGGGCAAACCAAGAGATCTTCATGCCTCGTGGTCAATACGCGATGATCATGAAATTCACGGATCAGCCTCCCAAGCTCACGAAGAAGCAGAAGCAGCAAAGAAAACAGGATTCGAACTCCCCTAACTCGGAAGCTAATCGACTTGGCCAACTCTTCTCAACCGAGCAGATCAATTTCAATCAATCAGGAGCGACAGATGAGGTCAATGCCGGCCTGTCTCAGCCCGAAAGACCTGAATTCGATGCGGCAGCGACAATATCAAAGTACACTCACAGCAAGGAGCACCCACAAATGAACGCATGGAAGCAACGCATGCAGCATTATCGATTGGGAGATGGCGCAACTAGAGGCGAAATGCAGCTTCCGGAGTGTGCACCGCTAGTTTTCCCGGAGATTGATCGAGCTGCCATACGGGTCAGAGATGGCCTGGAACCCAAGTCAAATTTCCAGAGTGGAAGAACCTGGGTTCGGGACTACATCGATCGAAAGTCCCAGGCATCATTCGTGAGTACCAATTCCTTCACCCGCGCCCTCGCATATCGACAGAGCAATTCTGACGGGAAATAGGAAGCCCAGCATCAGGGTTCTGCGCTGGCTGTTCCCGAGTCCGGACGCAAGGCCTTCACTTCACGCTACAATGACCCTAACCATCCAGTAAATAGTGGAAACCTTCTCACGACCTTGAGCGGTGGCTTGTACCAGCCTAAGCCAAGTCTATTCGAGCGTGCTGGGGCTGCCATCAAGGAAACCCAGGACAAGAAGCGGGCTGCTCAAGGTCTTCCCCCGAGTGAAACCTGGAAAGAGAAGTGGGCCAGAAAGAAGAAGGAAACTGGCAGTAGAATTAAGATTCTTAGGGAGGATGTGATGTATCTGATGATCGTCAACATGCCTACCGAGGAAGAGCTGAAGGAGTCCGTTGCTAAGTTACAGTACCTCGCGCAGCAGGGAGACCTTGGAAGGGGTGGGACTGGAGGGATGGCTCTCGGCCTAGATGTCTTTGATGTGACTGAAGTAGTAGCGCTGGCTGCTAATACTTAGACTGTCAGATTTTCTGGTCTTTGAAATGAGAGTTGATAGTGAAATGTCAGCAGTTAGAGATATATTTCTCAGAGATTTAGAACGACTGGCTGACTTATCAAAAGACCTAACTAGGACTAGCGCACCACGGGAGGAGTGGAACCAGGAGCGGTCCAAATCAGCCAATAGCAGTCCTCATGTTTTCAGTCCAATGTCGGATTGATTTGTTTGTAACCGTGATGACGACGGCGAGGCTGTAATAGCCCCCGAAGACTCATCATAGTCCGAATGTCTTTCTGTACCGCGCGGATTGACGTCAACTGGGGCACAGTGCCGGTTATCTGGGTATCCGTACTGCAGGTGGGGGCCGAGGGGCCGACCGTGGAGGATCTTCAGCTGAACACGGACACGAGGCTAAGAGCTGAGCCTATTGGGGAGTGCTACTCCTCAGACTTGCCAGGGAACTCGGGTTTCCGACAGACCCTGCGCCCTCTCTTGTGCCATTATCCTTGCCCGCTCCTCTTGGCGTATCGATATGGCCCCGCTCAACTCGTTTCGCCCTCGAGCCTCTAGAAGCTGTGGCAACTGCCGGGCTGTCAAACGACGTGTAAGTGCCGTTCTACCTTTGCTCCGCTTATTTTCCCTCTTGTCTGTCAGGTCAGAACTCAATTTGTCGTGTCTCTACATAGTGCGACCAGCAGACTCCCCATTGTGGACAGTGCATTCGAATGCGCCAAGAATGTCCTGGGTACCGAGATAAATGGGACCTCGTCTTTCGTGACCAGACCGACCAAACCATACAGCGATACAGGAAACCGAAGATCGAAAGTCCCGCCCAAGCCTTGCCCGCCCCCGCCCGCAGCTTGAGCCCCAACGCCGACGACATAGGTGTCAATTACTTCCTCCGCAATTTTGTCAGCGGTCAGTCCTCTTCACGGGGATGCCTGAACTATATTCCTTCTGTTTATCGCGAAGATGGCGAGCATCCTACTCTGGTGACCAGCATGGCGGCCGTAGGACTCGTGGCCTTGGCCAATTCGACCCAACAGTCTGACCTGGCAAACCTCGCGCGAGCCAAATACACGGAGGCGATCCGCAATGTGAATGTCGCCTTAACATCGCCCGTGGAGTCCGTCAAGGACAGCACTTTAATGTCGGTGATCTCATTAGGGGTGTTTGAGCATGTCTCCGAGCACAAGTCGTGGGTTCGACATGTTCAGGGCGCTGCAGCGTTAGTAGTTGCCCGGGGCAAGGGCCAATTCACCAGCACGGCCACGATCCTCATGTTTAACCAAGTTCGCGCTGATCTTGTGCTTGCCTGTGTCCATAACGAAGAACCGTTTCCGAAAGACATGATCCAGCTTCAAGAAGAGGCAGCCAAGCACACTGACGCCTCTGGTGCATTTTGGCTTCTGGGGATCTTAGGTACCCGATGCGCAGACCTCCTGATGGGAGTTAGGGCGAACACTAGGCAAGTTCCTTGGCCTGAATACCTGGAGGAAGCGACTATGATGGAGCGTGAATTCCAACACACCGCCATGCTCCTCACCGCACAAGAACCCTATACAGTCACCCAAAATGCTTGCTGGGCGCCAGAACTAAGCTATAATGGACGAGTTGACCTATATAAGGACACTTGGGCAATCCGGGTGTGGAACAACCTCAGAAATCTTCAAATGATCGTCTACGAGATCATGTTATACCTCTTGAACAAGATTCTCGTGACAGACCTTACGCTCACGTCGGCCGTCCGGCAGTCTCTGAAGCTAAAGGTTCAAATGGCAATGCAAAATCTGTCAATGCTGGGAGACGATATACTCGCTACCATCCCTCAGGCTTTGGAATTCCTATCCTCCGCTTCCACCACTCCCTCCCTCGATCTACCCTTCCACGGCAGCGTGTCAGGCGGGTATATCCTGACCTGGTGTTTGTACATGGTTGGAAAATGCCCAGCCACAAAAGCTGAGACCAGAAGGTGGATCATCCAACGCCTACAACACTTTGGTAGGAATATGGGAATCTCAATTGCACTGCGTCTGGTTGATGCTATAGCAAAGATTGACCAATTTGCCGCCTAGACATCATCCATCCAGGTGCTCTCGGCTTTACTCGGTTGTCAAACAGCAAGCAATATAATTATAGATTTTATTTTTCATTGAGGTTTTCGTGCTAGCACTTTATGTGAATGGCTCGTGTAGTTGCTTAATCAACGCGCGCATGTATACCGTCCAGCCAGGGATGGTGACTTGTCATACCGAAACCGATCGCCTACTGGGTACCTGGCAAAGCCTGACCACCTATGAATCGTGGGAATCCTTGGTAGCCGAGCCAGAGCTCACCAGTTCCCGGCGGGCCACCGACAATCTCGTTCTTACGAGCCTTAAGATCATCAACGTCCCAAGAAGAGAAGACGATCTTGTTCTTAAGGAATTCAGCTTCAGGGGAGACAATCCAGACGAGGAAGTCGGCAGGAAGAGAGACTAGGAAAGGATAGTCATTAGTTAATAGAGCACAGAGACGGACTAGCCACAAAGAACAAAATCAATTGATACTCACTTTCGTCAAAGGTAAATGGCAATTTAATAGACTCTGACAGCTTAGCAGACATGGCTGTTTTGAGGAAACCGGGATGTACATTGTGAAGACGCACTTGCGGGTTCTCGACGGCGAAGGACTGCAGGACCTTGACGGCGGCCATTTTACTGCTGACATAGGCGCCCATGCCGGCGAATGGGGGGAAAATAATGCCAGCCGTGGTCAGATTGATGAACGTGATTGGCTTGTCCTCGTTGGGGCTGACTGTCTTGTTAGCCAGGACGACAGCCTGTGCCGTTACCAGTGAACCGACTACGGTAGTCTTATAGCCGTCCAGGAAGGTAGCCGGATCGGCTTCCAGGAGCGGAACAACGGGGGCCAGTACGCCGGCACAGTGGATCAGGATGTCGATGCCACCAAACTCGGCAGCCACCTTTTTCATGGCGTCGCGGACGCTCGAGGCATCGCATAGCTCAGCCTCGTGAGTTTGGATCGTCACCTCGGGGTGGCTGTCGCGGACAAGGGCGGCGGTTTCCGCCAGGGCGTCGGCGCGTCGACCGAAAAGGATGAGGGCTCGGGGGCCCGATGTAGCGAAGGATGAGGCTGTGGCCCGGCCGATGCCGCCAGATGCGCCAGTGATCACCACAACCTTGCCCGCAGTGGAGAGGCTGGGCTGAGTTGGATTGATGCCAGCATATGTGGCAGAGTGAGTGGCCTTGGTGTACGATGGCGCAGGTGGTGGCATTGTCGCTATGTGAGTTGAAACGTATGTGTCTCCTGAGGGGGTTGGCGTAAGATGGAAAGCGCTGCAAAACTGATAGGTAGCAGTAAATTCTTGAAGTGTGGCCGGGTGGGAAGGATTAAATAGCCGTGTTACAGTCAAACGAGGGGGAAAATGTTCATGCTGGTCATATATTCTTTTGGTAGTACTCTACTTTGCTAGTATTTAGGCGGCAGCCCCGAAGTGAATGAATCTGTTCCCCGCGTGCTTCGGGGCTTTTACTTCGGGCCTCACTTCAGGTACGGACTCCGAGGAGACATGGCCCACATGAAAACCCCCCGAACAGCCCAATGATAATGGCGCAAATGCCCTTAGCTCGGCCTGGGAGAATCCCAGCCAATGGGACCCAAGTTTGCGTGGATACTGCGTATGGGGCCAATTTAAACAGAGAAGAACGAAGGCAGAAAGAAGAGGACGCGCAAATCACTGATCACAACATATGACTCGATAAACAAATTCCATATTGACAATAATCTCACAAAATTTGAATGAATTTAAAAGAGAAGGAATCCAGGTTTCTGATTATTCACACCAAAGGCCTCCTCTACACTACTTGTTATTTTCGGAAATACCATTGGTCAACCGTGTACTCCGTACGAAGGGACACGCGTGTCTACTATCTAGCGTTTAAATGCGGTTTTTAGAATTGAAACATCTTCATCATTGGTAGTGGTAGTGGATGCTATTTAAATTACTCCATAGTGATAGGGTGATCTCCGAATAGCTTCATATTCGTCTAACACGGCAGCAGCCAGTAAACCACCTGGAAAAATGGAGATAACTGCATTTATATGGCGCTTAAAGCTTTATGTTCATGGGGTCCTTGGGCCTGGTTATTCCATCCAGGCATCATTTACACTATTAGTTAGTTCCACTGTAAATAGATGCCTCAAAGCGGTTTAAATTCAGGCGCGATCAGGCCAAAGCGACCCTGCCCGGCGAGCAAGACGCCAGGTAACATCTGTGGTTTGATCTCTGAGGGTAGCCATCATAGAGATGACAACGAGATCAGGAAGTATCCAGGGCAACTGCATCGCTTCCCTTCCAAGGGTGGGTTTCTTCCACTGATCTGATCAGCGCTTCACAGCTGGGCGATCGGGGTCTGATATTGAACTCCCAAGGAAGCGGATGGCTAATCACCCCAGGTCTGAACTCAGGCTCAACATGCACCTCGTGACCATTTCTAACCTCTTTTCTGACATCAAACACTGCCAGTGACCGGGAGATAATCAAGTAAAGGGCACAGTCGGCCAAAATGCGACCAGGGCATATGCGCCGACCGAACCCAAAGACGAAGGTACGCGGGTCCAATTCAGGCTCCCCGCCATCAACATTCAAAAAGCGCTCAGGCTTAAACTTCATTGGATCATGATAGACTTCGGTATCGTGCGCAAAGGCCCTTCAGTGATAGTCAGCGTCTCGATCTTGCGCAAAATGTAGACCAGACTTACCAGATGTTGGCCAAAACCAAGGACCCTTCGGGAATAAGATGACCTTCATACATGTCATCCTTGACTGACATGTGTGAAATCCCCATTGGCGCTACAGGATGCCATCGAAGGGTCTCCTTCACTACAGCATCGACATAAGGGAGGCTTGCACGATCGACCACCGTGGGCAGTCGAGCACCGCCCAAAACTCGGTCAATCTCCTCTTGTGCTTTGCGTTGTACCTCTGGGTAAAGGGTCATGGCCAGGAAAAAGGTCTGAACAGAAGAGACGGTCTCGGTTTCGTTAGTCGGGATGGTCTTGGGACTAAGAATAGTAACATACCGTGTCAGCGCCGCCTGTATATAACGATGCGGCTGTCCATTTCGCAACCATTTCTTCTTCTGTTCCATTTGGTGGGTATCCGCCTGCTTCAAAAAGGTTGGACAGATAAGACGGATCATAGTTGCCACTTTCCATTCGCTGTCGCACAAAGGCATAAGGCTTGTCAGCAACATGCTGAAGATTTTGTTTCCAAACTTGCGCAGTTCGCTTGAATCCAGCCCCAGGGAACCAAGAGGGGATGTATCTCACTACGTTATTTAGTATCGTCTCTCCTGACTTTGCAAGATGCCTCACTTACAGGCCGGAAATATGTCCACCAACCAGGCACCAGGAGTTCCAGCGACAGAAAATTGCTCAAGTGCCATTTTTGCAATATGAACCAATGGGTCCATCTTGTCTGGTTCAATGGTATAGCCATACGCTATCTTGAGAATGACTGCACCCGCCTCCCTGAATTGAATGAATCAATCAGCTATTTCAATCGAGTGAGATTCGACGCCCAACTTACGTTGAAATATGCTGGATCAAATTCTTCGGATCTTTTAGTACACGTAGTAAAAATCGATGGCTCTCCACCTCTTGCAATTCATTATATTGAGACACAGCAGTCTCCGAGCCGAGATATGGCTGCATTGCTTTGCGATAGGCACGTAACCGGTCGGAGTAAGTTTGCATTGCCAGAATATGCTCCCAACCCACCCTAGTTATCCAGGATTTAGTGACGGGAGTGTGGTCATTTTGTGCTCGTCGACCTACATCTGTGACGCATATACGAGATTCGGCCGCGAGGAATATATTGCGGACCGCTTACCCAGCAAGTCCATCGCAATTCGATGATGATTCAAAATCACGATGGTCTGGCCCATGACAGAGATAGAACTGATTTGCCCTGGAAGCCAATCGAGGTGTTAGACTGCCAATGATGATTTCGCCGGTGTCCTAAATGACATCTCTTACCGTAACGATCTTTGAATTTCAACCAATGCATCCAATCTTGCGCCCCTGGAGGCGGCAGATCATAAATATTACCAAGAATTGGTTTTCCCGGCGGGCCAGGGGGTAGTGGCCCATGAACCCTTCTGCGAGCAAGCAGGACCATGGCATACAGCACCATTGCCCCGATTCCCACGCTGAGGATCACGTAGAGAGGGCTGGCGATCATCATTGACGCGTGTTTTTGGCACTGCACAGGAAATGCAAATGATTCCAAGATATCAAGGCGACAGCACGCTCTTACCTCATGCGTTCTTTATTAGTCATTGACAGGAAGCGGGGGTCTTGGCTTCGTGCTTTTGCTTTAGTGTGCACTGTTTCTAGACAAGTGCCGGCGATATCCACTTTTTCATGGACATGTACTCCGTACACGGCGTCCAGTCAAAATACGCCAAGTCGCTTTTGTATCTGTGACTTCGGGATGTTTGATGGAGGTTCTGACTACGAGGGAAGAAGTGATCAACCAGATGGCAAAAGATGATGTTGATGTAAGATCAGGAAACTAGCTACTGTACTGAAGCCTGTCTATATAGCTTCGTACCACAAAGCAAGCCAGATTCCATCCACCAGAACACAGAAGAAGCATCTCTGCAGATACACAAAGGAAAGCGCTGATGCGGCAAGCTGCGCGTTTGCCGATGAGCTGTCTGTCAGAGAAGAGAAAGAAAGGGAAAGGAATGCCATACAGAAAGGTCTACAAACTGCATAGGGCGACAGTGACCCTGTCAGAATGCATCAGATGTGTGGATTGCTTAGAGGCTGGGGTCACCCACATGAATCGGGCCGGCCCTGTCACCAATCATGTGGTCGCAAGACATCGTATTAGCGATGATTGGCCTGGAAGCAGTGAAGTTGGAGCCGGGACGGATGTCTTTGATCCGCTTGATCCCGCGCTGTTCAGCCATGGATCCATTAAGCAGATTATGTAGTTATTATTACGGAGTATGTATAACTATTGTATAGAGGAACTGACTGGATCCCGTCTCTCATGGCCCTTGTTGATTGTGAAATCTTTTAGCAAGCCCACTTGATGGTGTTTGGGAAAAGATACTCCGTAGAACACCATACAATGGCGCGACAAATTCGGAATCCTGGCTTATGGACCCATGTCACTCGGCAGGCTAGCGCGTTTCTTCCAGCTTCACGAGTTATTTCCTTTTTCTGATAGCAATAGGGGTGTGGTATTTCAAGCTCTTCTCGCCCCTTCAAATGCACTTAAAAGCAAGCCCATGATTTCCTCGTCGCTTTTCACGTCGCTCCATGGTGTCCTTTCCTCCCGCTGCCTTGGAGAGTATCACGCAATCTTCGACTGCCAATGACACAGCATTTTGATTGAAACCCAAAAGCCTAGACATCACTGCCCATCATGTCTTTCCTGGTAGACGAGGGATTCGACAACTTGCATCCATGTACAGTATGAAAATCGCCTCCATAACTTCCTGGTTGAACTAACCATAATTCCAATTATTTTCTCTCCAGCTTAACTGCTTTTATACCGCCGTGAACGAATCAATGTGCCATGCATCAGATTGGACGTGTCTGTGTTCCGACACCAAATTCTTTGCACTGACAACCGATTGCAGCACCACTTCGAGCTGTAGTGTGAAGGCAAGCCTTTGTGGGTGTTTCAAGATAGTTTACTTTCACTTTGCTGACGACATCTGGTAGCGGCAACAAATATAACCATGACCGCATGTCGAATACCCCAAGATAGCCAAGCTGGGATCTCTTCCATTCTGGCTGGCGTCTTTGGGATGTTGGCTCTCATCATGGTCGTATTGCGTATTACCCAGCGTTCTGTTTTCAATGGATTAGTTGGGCTGGACGATTTTGTTATTGCAGCAGCCATGGTCTGCGCTGCTCCTCTTAACTGTTTGATGTTTCCAAGTACGCTCGCTCCTCGTTCCGGCAGCCATAAAGTCGCTAAATCTATTACAGTGCAAAATTTAGGACTGGGTACTAACACCTGGGCTGTTCCATTCGAGCACATCACAAAGGAGTTAGAGGTCAGCAATAAAATGTTCATGTCCATATCTTTCATCCAGGCTAACATATTTCTAGCTACTTTACATAGCCGAGATCTGTTACATGGCAGCCGAAGCCCTGACACAATTATCTTTCTTGACCTTCTATCTACGCATATTTCCTTCAGAAAAGTTCCAGCTGATTGCATACGTATTGATGGGGTTGTCAGCTTGCTTCGGTATCTCCAACACTCCTGTCATGACATTCCAGTGCCTACCTATCCCATACTTCTGGTCCGGTTGGACTGGGGAGTACCAAGGAATGTGTATCAACATCAACGCATATTCATGGTACGAGGCAGCGGTGCAAATCGCGATGGATCTCGCAATAATTGGTCTTCCAATTTGGCCGCTTCTACACACAGCCATGAAGTGGCAGAAAAAACTTCAGGTTGCCTCGATGTTCTGTGCAGGATTTCTGTGCGTGACTCTCTCTTTCTTTCTTTCCATTTAAATCCTGCTCGCGGTGCTAACGAGATCTTAGAATCACTGTAGTCAGTTGTCTACGGTTGCGGTCGCTCGTCAAGTTTTCGAAATCGCCCAACACTACATGTCAGTCTTTTCTTGCTAAAAGTCTCTCGAAAGTGCTAAATCTTTTTATTTTCAGATGCTAACACTCCAGCAATATATTGGAGTGTTGTAGAGTGCGACGTTGCTATTATCTGCGCTTGCATGCCTGCTATACCTTCACTCCTAAGGAACATTTCTCCCTTTCTTTTTGGACAATCTCCGAATTACAGGGACGATACCTCGCCTCTCAGACATACACCTCAATCGATTCCGTTGGATCATATTCAAAAAGACGAAAAATACAGAAATTTGCAGGCGACCAGCTCTGAGACATATTTGGTTTAGGAACTGCAATGTATAACTAGTCGCAAGAATCTTTCTCGCATTTGCTTCATGCTAATTTCCCTTGCATACAAGCTGGCCACTTACGTTTATACGTCCGGACCAGTACTAATTCTATATTTTGAATGAAATAAATGGTGAGGATTAAGGACGTTATATATTATAGTGGTTATGGGAGTAGCCTTGTAAAATCTAGCAGCGGTATCACATAATCGACCTTGTAAGGTTTAACTAGCCTATGGCTAAGTGTGGCTAAGGTTATTTCAAGCAATACCATAAAAATTTACATATTTAGTGGAAAATGCTCGCTAAGAACCGCCCTCTGTGGTTGTTAGAGGGCGCAGAAGTTATGTAGTGTACAAGACCGATATCGGTGTAGACGATCTACCCAACCTGCAACAAATAGGAAATCTCTCACTTATTTACACTTGCATACAAAGTCTGTATTAATGTGGATCATTCTCGCCCACCTGACTATTTCCTCCGTGGGTAGTCCTCGCCTCTATCCACCAACTCGACTACATCATCCTCACGCCCATCAGGAGTCGTGTATGTCACCTTATGTGTAACAGACTTTTGGATCCCACTGGTGTCCAAAAAGGGAGTATTGTTGTAATTGTAATTGTAAGAGCGATTGGTACTACCGAATATCGTGGGGAAGACACGGCGAAGGGTGGAAAGTAGGGTAGGCATGCAGCAGCACATAATCGAAACGTTACACTCGATGACACTGTATGTTGCTACCATGACGTTGTTGTCTTGTGCACGTCGGTTAGCTTGGGCACGAAATGGAAGTAAACACACTGAGCAGGGAAGGGGTCGGCCTTACATGTTAAGTTTGATGTCGTGGAGTACTTTAGCAGACCTGAGAACCTGACAATACTAATTACCGTGATTCTATCAAGTTATGAGAAGTGAGTCGCAGGAGTTGACGGTTGGGTTGTACTTACACGATACCGATGCTGAACATCAGAACCAGGTAGATCTTCTTACTCGTCTTGAGTTGGAGTCCGAAGAGCATTGGAATGGGCAGGCCGATGATCCATAGATCGGTAGCGATATTGATTGCCTAGGGTCAGTTAGTTGATATCTCAATCTAATCAATCAAGTGATGAAGTCGACGTACCGAATGCGCCCACCAGAAGGAGTTGCTATTATAGCACAGGGCTGTACTTTCGCCTTTCCAGCCTGACCAGGCCTCTTCGACCGGAATGCAAGTAAGAATTTCAGTGATAAAAGTCGAGATCATGAACAGAAAGCAGTGGACGATAGTCCCCTGGCATAGCAGTCGGAATCTGGGGCCCGGGAAGATATGTAGGAAAAAGCAGACGATGGTCACCTTGGTCAGGATAATTGCAGGGATATACGATACTTGGGTTACCCAGGTATACTATCCACGCTGTTAGTTCTCCAGTCTGGAACTCGTTTTTCTCCTAATGATACTTGCCTTCGCTGTGTTCGTGATTTGTTTTTCTGTCAAGGTCCAAACGTCCTTTCCCATCCCTGAAACCATCACTGCTTTGCTGTTAGCACAGACCCATAACTCAAGTTACCGAGGACAAACACACTGAAGAATTCAAATATGTCCATAGGTAACGAAAAGATCTAATCTGCTGGTTAGCTGGCAGACTCCTAACTTCCATGATCACACCGTGGCACACTCACAAATGCAAGGACCGCGCACAGGTCAGCCCACTTGAACTCCTTCTTAGCAGCACAGTCAACCACTCTGATGCTGACAAAAGCGAGAGCCAAGGTACCGGTAACGGCTGTCGCGATGGGAGCGATAAGACTCTTGTCCCGGACAGGCCAGTGGCAGAGCGTAGCCGTGGCATTTTGGGACTCTGGGGATATGAAGTCAGCCTAGTCAATCAATATTACAAGGAGTAGAATTCCAGGGCGTACGAAGTCCTTCAATGACGGTGCAGGCTCCCAGTGAGCAAGCCTCGACATTGGCCATCAGTGTCTTGTCGGCGCATATGCAGTCGGCGTCCGTCGCGGTACATGTCGAATTCTTGAGACCCGCGGCCAGACAGTCGGCCTAGCAGTCATTATCAGCCGTGACTTGGTTTCACCATTGGAAAGATTTCATACTGCACATTGTGGAATGTTCTGGGTCGCAGCAATAGCCGCAAAGGCTGCGATGGCAAATGCTAGCCGCGTTGCTAACCGCATTAGGACTCCTCCGTCACTCGACTAGAAGCTCTGTAATGAATACACACACAAAGACACAGACACACGGCGAAAGCAGAAAGAATAAGAATGATCCGAATCGGGACCTGTAAATCGGCACGTTGGGGGGCAACTCGACGGCAGCTTCACGTTAGAACTTGGTCTTAACCACTATATTTCGTTTTATATTTTTTGGACGACCAGCCATTACTAGTTTGTTCTATTTTTTTTGATTTTTTTTGATGTGGGCGCCCCTATTCTAGCCATGCCCTGGTGGATGGGTCAAACCGGAATACAGGCTCTCACAAATGGCATCCAACGGCCCCCAAACGTACTTTTTCTTAAACTCTCCGGGAAGAGATGGGAAATTGGTTCTATTAAGGGGCTTAGCGATCCCCCCTGTGTCAGCGAATAGGAAGACTAGACTCGAGCTTCCGGAGGAGACAGTTAGCCTAGCAAACCTTGGAGTATCCCAGCCTCTGCGCTAACAGGGATGTAAACAGACTATTCCCAATCAAAAGTACGTTATCCACTACTGTAGCCAATACAAATAGTGCTATGAGTGTTGGCACTTGACAAATGTCCAGGGTAGGGTCGGAATTCTCCAGGATTCCTGACGAAAGTAAGTAACCTGGAGTCAATATTAAAATCCCAAGCTTCCAACATAGACCAGAACAAAAATAACCGCGATGTCTGGCCCACTTGCTAACGCTCGGCTCGATTTCGGGCCGTGTCCCTTCGGATCCAGCAGCAATCCCGGCCGTGCCCCGAGCCGTGCCCCCCACTCCCTAGGGCTGTTAAGTTCGCTTGAAAATTAAAAATATCATTTCAATTTCAATTTCAACGCTAAAATATCGTTTCATTTCAAAATGGGTGTATGCCTCAGGCGTAGACCTACTCTTAGTAATCCACCAATTAGATACCTTGAATTTTCAGAGAGCCAATAAGATTATCATAGCTTACTCTAAGCCTAATTAGGCCGAATACAGGCTCTTACCTATACCGCCTAGTATTCTTCTCAGACTACGTAGAGTGCTATAGCATAGGTCAAAAATATATTTCTGGTAATCTAGGTAAGAAAATGCTCCCCGTAGCCCCTATATCTAGCCACCCTGTCCTGCTTCAGGCACTCTTGTACGAGGCCGAACTATACGCCGACGACGTCTAATTATCCCACCCTGTATCTCTGGAAGACTTACAGTCGAAGAGTCGCTCTAAGTACCACCATCGCCAGCACTACCATCGCCAGTACTAGTAGTTCTGGCAATTTCGGAACCGGTAATAGCATTTTTTCTATACTAATAACAGTGGTATCTAGTCTAACCAGAACCTAGAGGACTTCTAGTATAAGGCGAAAGTGTTCGCTCCTTAGCTTGCTGATCTTGCCTTACGTATCTATAATACTACGGCTAATTCAGTTGCTTCGGAGCGGGTATTTTCCGCTATGAACTTTGTTCACTCGAAGGTACGCAATTCGCTTTTACCTAAGAAGGTTGATAAGCTAGTCTATCTCCGGATGAACTATCGACTTGTGAGTGAAGGGCCTATCCAGCAGCCTGACCTAGAAAAGGCGTAGGATCAGATAGACCGGTTTGATAAGGAGCAGATTATCAGAAATCGCTTCTTCTAGGACGTGACTTCTCTCGAGCCTTAGACTAAAAGCCTCAGTCTAGGAAATGAGCTTTCTAACTCTGAGTCTACTAGTGGGAGTAGGTATTGTAATGAGTGTAAAGCGTCCTTACGACTTGTATAACTAAAAATTTACTGCCAGTTTTTCTGCCGTTTTTTTCTGCCTATATTACAATACATTACCAATATATTACTAGCGCCTTGGCGTGAAACAATTGAAAATATATTTTTAATTTTCATGAAAATTAAAAATAGGGTATTGATATAGCCACCCCCCCTATAGATCACACCACCCCCCTTTGGATCGGACCACCCCCCCCTGCCTGAATTTTCAGTACCGCCTTCCTAATTTGTTGCAACCAAGAATATTGCCATACTTTATTTTTTCTACCATATAATTCTGCCTATATATAGAAAAAATCGTACGTTTAGGGCAGAAATTTACCGCTTTAAGATATTTTCTACAGAAAAGCCGACTCTGTTGTTTTTAGGCGGAAAGGCTGATAGCGCCATTGACACTAAGCTAGGATTTTAATAAAGAAGATACTCTATAAAGTAATATTCTCCTTAAGTACTGCCTCCTCGAGCTTGCTTTCCATATCCCTATCCTTATCCCTGTGTTATAGTCTCGGTATCACTACCCTTAGTCATAGTATCGGCTCTACGTCCCCGGCCGCGTCCCTGTCCTCGTCCCTATCCCTATGTTATAGTCTTAGTATTACTACCCTTAGTCATAGTATTGGCTCTATGTCCCTAGCCGCGTCCACGCGGCCGCCCTCGTCCTTATCTACGTTGCTGTGGGAGTATATACTCAAATCTAGAGGGATCGCGCTGAGTCGATCGATCCTGAGTAAGAGGATCTAGTAAGGATTGCATACCCTAGGTACTTGGTAGGATGCTTAGCTGTATGCTAGGCTGTATACTAGGCTGAGTACTAGGCTGAGTAAAGTTCTGTATACTAGGTAGACGTCCTCGGCGGCGTACTTAAAGGGGATCTTAAAGTAGAAGTAATAGATTAATTAGCGGTATATCTACGCTCTATAAATGCTAATGCTAGTAGAAGAGTGATAGCTTAAGGTATCGGCTTTTATCCTTATACTACTTAAGGATATAGATATAAGGGAACCCTGCTGTTTCCTTCGAATTATAATTATAACTTAGGGGAATTAGTGGTTTATCCTCTACTTCTGGGAGATATCTTATATAGATATCTTTTATATACTGAATTGCTTTTACTAAGATTCGTCTAATAAGTAGTTTATATAGTTATAAAATAATTATTAGCCTTCTGATTTTCTGGCTCTTAATCTTACTAGTAATCTTAGCGAATTGAAGCTTAATAATACGCTTAAAAATCCGGAGAATAACTAGTAAGTCATTTATCGAAACCTAGAGGTCCTATTTAAGTAACCAATAAGCACCCTCTATACGAGAAATCGCTATCTCGTTAAGATAGAGATACTTAGCGGTATAGTAATAGAGAAACTGCTGGGGACAGTTATTAATCTACTTGTCCTAGAGATAGTTAAGTAAGGGCCTAAAGATTAGATCACTATAGTTCTCCTAAAAGAACCCCTAGCGCTCGGTCATCCCTTTAATAGTAGTAGTATAGATAATACAATTCTACTGTTTCAGCATTTACTTCTAGGCCTTATCGACTTAGCGATACTCCTCTTTAAGTTCAGCCTTTATTCTCTAGGTACAGGTACTAGTACTGGACTAGGTACTCTCTTATTAGGATTTAGCGATCTAGTCGGTAAGAATTAGACGTGCTTTCTTTAAGATATATATATTAATGTACCATATATAAAGTATCCCTTTAGTATCTAGGAATACTTTATCGATAGTATCTAATAGTGCCTATTCCTTATCTATAAGGATAGTATAGGGTTCTTTAAGTCTAAGAGACTCGTAGACTTTAGCTAGGTAATGTAGAACGAGTTTATATATTTCATACTTTTTATCTTTAATAAATGTAAAGCTAAGGTAAAAGCTTGAACCAGTAGCAGTGAATCTAACGATATCAAGTAATAGAAGCCTATAACGATTGGTCTTATATATATAGTCTATCGAGATAACCCAGGGATTTAACTTAAGTATTATAATACTGGATTTGTAGATATAGAATAAGGCTGTAATATAGTTTTCACTATTAACCTTATATCTAAAGAACCACTCTCTGTCCTTTAGAAGTTCTTAGAGTAACGCCTAAAGGGGTATACGACTAGCTAAAAACTCTATATATAGCTTTCTCCGGAAGTTATAGATATCATAGGGCTATAAAGCTAAATTAGAATCATCCTACCGAATCCTAGTAAGGATATAACGGGTTAATAAGCCTTATTCAAGTTGTTTCTTAATATATATTACTTTTTCCTAAGTCTTAAGTATCCGGTAAATTGTATAGCTTGATTTAGGAGACCCCTTATGGTTATAGGTAGTATTCTTAAGGGTTAGGAGCTAGGTATTCGTCTTATATTAAAGGTAAAGAGAGATAGCAAATGGACATTAGTTTATAAGCGTTATGGTCTAGTAGATATAGTCATGGTCTAGGCGATCTCGCTACATACGACCTCGGTTATAATATAGTCGAACGGTCTTAAAAACGCCCTTTTTAGTATACTTTGATCGGAGGGTTGAAACTATATAGCCATACTGGTAAGTAAAGTTATTAATTATAGCCATTCTATACTCTACAGTATTATATTATTAGTTAAAGGGAGGAAGAGGTAAGAAAAAAAGGCCTAGTGTAGGTATAGGGCCTAGTATTAGCTCGGTAATTAGCTTAGTAGATAGAGACTCGGTACTTATCACAGTGATTAGCTGAGTAGGTAGAGGCTAAATATATGGTTTAATACTTCTAAGCCTAATAATTAGCTGAGTAGATAGAGACTTGGTACTTATCGCGGTAATTAGCTAAGCGGGTAGAGGCTGAATATATAGTTCAATACTTCTAAGCCTAATGATTGGCTTAGTAGGTAGACACTCGGTGCTTATAACGGTACCTAGATTGGTACTGGGTATCCTAATTAGGGACTTAGGAATAACCTCGAGGTCCTTAGGATCAGAATTGAGGTAATCAAGGCCTAGGGAGGCTATATTAGTGATCAAAGTAATGGGATTGATAGAGCAATAGGATAGAAGAAGGTAGACTGAAAGTTATAAACTAGAATTAGATTATTAATACCCTTAATCTAATCTACATATATATATACGAGTGATAGGAGTAACTTAATTTTATTAGACGTTTATATACAAACTGTAGGTACCTGCTGTCCTACTACTATCTTATACAGTTTAAGATAAAAGCGGTATATAAATTAGGAGGCGGTAAGGAGAGCGGTAGACAGAAGCAAGTGTCGAGGCAGGTACTC